ATTTTAGAGCCTTGCAATGAACTTTCCAGAATATAGAGGTAGGTGACCACGCAAACTACTTTCAGAAATAAACCAGAAAGTCACATGAAGGAGGAGGGACAAGAGCAATAGTAGTGTAAATAGTAATCCTGGTTCGCCAAAGACTGATTGCTCTGTTAGAATATACTGCAGGCAAATAACAGTCCCAGTAACTGGTACTAATCAATAGTAATCAATACTTCAGTGATTTGTTATGTAACTTAGCAGAACATATTTCTGAAGCTTTCACATGTTTGTTGTACTTAGTTTTCTGAAGATAGTAACCAGAAGAACCTGAGAATTCTAAGCCTTGAGCTGATGAAGCTTAGAAACAAAAGAGAAACTAAGATGAGGGTGAGTGATGCCTTTGCTGAGTGTGCTGCGCCTGGTTCTGTGGATCCGAACGATTCCTTATTTCCTGCAACATATTTCTGTTGTGTAGAGTATGATGGCCAAACAACAAGGCATGGAGGTGAAACTGCAGGCCACCCAGAAGAATCTGGAAGAGTCTCAAGGGAAAGTGGCACAGCTCGAGGGGAAACTGTGAGTGCCTAAAGGAAAGAGAAAGTGTTCAGTCCGGATTCACTGCTCTCATCTGCTATTTTTTCCTGGGATGTTAACCTTCCCACAATACTTACCTCATGGCCTTCCTCTCGTTGCCTTATTTCTTTTCCCAAGTGATAGTTGAGACTTACTCATTCCCAAACAATTTAGGCTGAAAAGATATGAGATTATTATTACTTGTGTACATCTTCTGTATCAATGATGAGGAGAGGCCTCATAAGCTTTCTAATAGCCTAATCTTGTGGGAGTGGTAAAGTGGACCCGAACTGAGAAGCACTGGTGTAGGAGGCTGTGATTAGTGCACAAGTCTAGCCTTGTCTTTACTACTGAGCTCTCACTGACATACAATAAAATACCCAGATCACAAGTAGTCAGTGTGATGACTTTTGACAGTTGTATGTACCTGAATAACCACCACCCGAATATGGTAGAGAATACTGCCGTCTCTTCACAGAGTTCCTCCATGCCTGCTGTTCCTGCTCCTCCCTGGGTAACAACCCCCACCCCTCACCCCCGCAACCACTTTCTGACTTCCATTGTCATAAATAGGTTTGGTTTTGGGGGGCACATTTATTATTGCATGTATGTGTGTATAAACCCCATCTGTTTACTATTCTCCTGTTGATCAACATTTGGGTTTCCAGTTTCTGACTATTATGAATGAGACTACTACATATGACCTTTTGTGGACATATGTTTTTATTTCTCTTGAGTAAATAGGAATGGAATTCCTGGGTCATAGGGTACGTGTATAACATTTTCAAAAACTCAAAGTAGATGAACCATTTTACACTCCCGATTAGCAATGTATCATAGTTCCAGTTGTTCCACACCCTCACCAACATTAGACGTCAGTGCGATTTCAGCCCTTCCAGTAGCTGCGAAGTAGTATCTCATTTGTGGTTTTAATTTATATGCTATTACTGTCAATTATATTTTTATTGACCATTCGTATATATTTTGTAAGGTCTCCATGTAAGCCTTTGCCCATTGCTTAAATTGAGGTGTTTGGAGGAGGTAAACACATAAGTAATTGCATATAAGGCAGCTTAGAACAAAGGCTTTATGGCATACACATGCTATTTTGTATGTGTGGTGGGTGGGGAAGCCAGGAAAGCTACAAAAAAGATTATTTCTGACACTTGGAGTGCTGTAGATGATGACTCTCATTACCACAGCCCTTTTATCGGTATATATTTGGAAAGCTTTCTCACCTAAAAAAAACTTAGGTCTCCTGCTTGCATATATTAAATTGCCAACTTGAGATGTCACATAAATTAATAGTTCAGAGTTTAGACTCTGGCATCAGCCTGCCTGCTACAGCAGTATCTGGTACAGAGTAAGCATCATGTGGTCATTGTATGTATTAATATATACACCCTTTTTTTAGTGTTTCAATACAGAAAGAAAAGATTGATGAAAAATCTGAAACAGAAAAACTCTTGGAATACATTGAAGAAATAAGGTATTATCAATAGTAGTTTTAACTCAGCCCTCATTTTGTGGAAGTGTGATGGATACATCATTTTCATCTCTTTTCAGTTACTTTTTCCTATGCTTAAGTAGATGTGCTCTTCAAAATAGTTTGTTTTAATGCAGTTGTGCCTCAGATCAAGTGGAAAAATACAAGTTAGACATTGCCCAGTTAGAAGAAGATTTGAAAGAGAAGAATTATGAAGTTTTAAGCCTTAAGCAGTCTCTTGAAGAAAATATTGTTATGTTGTCTGAACAAGTAAAAGACCTGAATGCTAAATGTCAGCTGCTTGAAAAAGAAAAAGGTATTCAAGTGTTTGTAGTATTACTATCTTCAGCTAAGTACTATATATAGCATTTAAGAAAAGCACTGCTATGTTTAAAAACAACTTTTTAAAATAATTATGTAAATAACAAAAAATTCTGTTCTAGTTATGAGAATTTAGTCTTTTATAATGTATATTCTATTTAATATGTTGCTTACCTTGTAAATATATACAATTTTGCATTATTTGACTTCTCCATTCGGTAGCCATTTAAAATTGGTAGGTACACAGAAGTAGGTGTGGGAGGTTATTATATGATATATAGAGTAATGATATAAACTGTAGAGGGCTTTTTTTCCTTTGAAAATACTTGATCTCTGTTAACATGCTATGTATGTTAATGAAACGTATGTATAATGAAATATAATGGGAATCTGGGTCCAAAGTTAGTATTCATATCTGTGTACAGCATTGTTAACATTTCTCTTTCCTAGAAGAACTCATCAGCAGGGACAGAGAACGGGATGAACATCTGAATTCTGAAATGCAAAACTTAAAAGAGAAGTTAATTCTTGAAAAACAAGAACATGAAAAAGAGTTACAACAAAAGGAGTTGCAAATTGATTCACTTCTGCAACAAGAGAAGGAGCTACAACAAAAGGAATTGCAAATTGATTCACTTCTGCAACAAGAGAAGGTAGTTTTCTATAATGTAAAATAAAACTAGTACTTATTTTATGTCATACATTTCCTTGTGGTCAGGACACCTTATAATTGTATATATCCTGTGATCCACCAATTCTATTTTTAGAATTTTATCCTGAGGAAATAATCATGGTTATGCAGCAGATTTAACTGCAAAAGGTTAATGTCCGGCTGGTGTAGCTCAGTGGTTGAATGTCAAACTGTGAACCAGGAGGGCATGGTTCAATTCTGGTCAGGGCACATGCCAGGGTTTCAGACTTAATCCCCAGTAGGGGGCATGCACGAGGCAGCCGACTGATGATTCTCTCACATCATTGATGTTTCTATTGCTCTCTCTCTCTCCCTGCTTCTCTGAAATAAAAAAAAAAAAACACAAAACATTTTTTTTAATGTTTACCACAGGGGTATTGATAATGTGAAAAAAATTATAAGCAACAGAGAAAGCAAAATTAAGGAAACTGTTTAAAGATCTTTACCAGACCACTCTTGTTAGAGTACTACATAGGCATTTACAGTTATGTTGAAAAAAAAGCATATGATTATATGAGAAACAAAAGTGACAATTTTTTATAATCCAGATTATATAAAAAACATTTTGCATTACGATGAGAAAAAAGATAGTCCACTAAGAAAGAATGAGCATAGGATGGAAATACATAATTCTTAGAGATAGAAATTCAGATAGCCTGTAACAGTTACTAGATGTTCTACCTTAGTAGTAATCAAAGAAATGGAAATCTTTTTTTTTCTTTTTCACTTATACGATTGGACAAATTTAAACGTTTGATAGAAAAAGACCCTTGGTGAGAGTTGGACAATATTATATAAATATTGTATTGTTGAGGAACCTACAAAGACTAAAGGAATTAAATAGATCTGTATATATCAACTTAAAAATCTCAATAACATTTTTGTGTTTTTTAAATGACTTTTATATACACAGTATATATCTTTCATATTTTAAAAAGTATTATATAAGTAATAAGAAAAAACGTTAAAGCATATATAATCAAAGTAGTGGTTATCTCTGCAGTGGGAAAAGTAAGATTGGGATGGGGAGCAGTCAAGGCAATTTTCTCTTTATTGATGATGTCAACAATGTTTACAATTGTGATATATTTATCTTTTTATTGGTGTTACTCATATAACTTTAAAATATTTTCATATAACATTGAAATCACAGTCCTTTTTATATAATGTCATATGACAAAAATATGTTATAAAAGCCAGTTGTAGAATATGATTTTAGTTTTACAAGTAGTAGGTTTGTGTATGTGTGTTGCATAGGAAAAAGACTAAAGTAACATTTATCACAATGTTGACAAGTTATAGGATATACTCCCTGACAAAGTGAATATGATATCTTCTTATTTTTCAAATTCCTTGAGAATCTTGAATTTGATATTTTTCATTAGCTGTACATTTTTCTGTCCTTAATAAAACCTCATAAATTATTAAATTAAGTTATTTAAAGCTTTTGAATTATTTTGGTGGTTTTCTGTTGAATGTAGGAATTATCTTCTAGTCTTCAGCAGAAGCTCTGTTCTTTTCAAGAGGACATGATGAAAGAGAAGAATCTATTTGAGGAAGAATTAAAGCAAGCTCTGGATGAACTAGATAAATTACAGCAGAAGGAGGAAAAATCTGAAAAGTTGATCAAACAGCTGGAAGAAGAGACAAAAGCTAGAGCTGAAGAACTGAAACTTCTGGAAGAAAAGCTGAAGGGGTTTGTATTAATAGGACTTTACACATATGACCTCAGATTTTACAAAGTATTTTTCCAGAACATTCTCGGGATTCTCATATCAATCATGCAAGTGAGTGAGGTTAGAATTATTTTGCAAGTAAGGAGAAGTAAGTACATGCATAGGATGTACATATAGATAAGTATGACAGCCAAAATAAAAGCCAAGCCCTTTCTTTATTTAAAGCCAGTGGTTTAAGAGTTTTAATTCAAAAATGACCAGCCCTAACCAGTTCGGCTCAGTGGATAGAGTGTGGGTCCCTGGACTGAAGGGTCCTGGGTTCCATTCTGGTCAAGAGTATGTACCTTGGTTGCTGGCTCAATTCCCAGTAGGGGGCGAGCAGGAGGCAGCTGATTAATGTTTCTCTCTATCCCTCTCCCTTCCTCTCTGTAAAATCAATAAAATACACTTTTTTTAAATAACCAAAATTTTGTGGATCATCAGAATAATGGCTTGCTGGCGTGGCTCAGTGGTTGGGCGTCAACCTGTGAACCAGGAGGTCACAGTTAGATTCCCGGTCAAGGCACATGCCAGGGTTGCAGGCTCGATCCCCAGTACAGCGGGGGTGCAGGAGGCAGCCGATAAATGATTATCTCTCGTCATTGATGTTTCTATCTATCTCTCCCTCTTCCTTACTATCTCTGAAATAAAAAACATATATGTAAAAGTAATAAGAAATGTATTATTAGAAATAGACTGAGATCTCATGCTTTTTTTTTAACTCCAGTTCCATATTGCTTTCATCATGTTATGTGTCCTCCACTATATTTACTTAAATTAAAATGTCCAAGTTGACTATTGAATTCAAATTACAAATAAAATAATTATATTACTTGAATCCTTGGGATTTCATCACTATAAAATTTCCTAGCGTAGACTAGACATGAGCCTACATGTAATATGTCTAGAACTGTGTGTATCTCATGTTGGATACTTTTGTTATTAATTTCTTTTCTGTTTTTTTTGTTGTTGTTGTTTTTAATGCTTAGTGATTTAAAAAAAGAAAAAGTTAGGGGGAAAATGGTGTTTTAGAAAATAAAGTAAAATAAATAAGTAAAATTTTAAAAAGCACACCAAGGTTTTATATATATACCTGCTTTTGCAGGAGCAGTGCCGAATGTAATTAGGGGATTGTTCGATATTGCAGCCAGTCTCAGGAGACAGGTGCTTTAAGTGCCTGAGTAAATGCTTTCAGTTTCAGAAAGAAAGTGGACACAATCATTTATTCTGACTCAGAGAACTGTCCAGAGGTCAGGAGATAAATATTTTGCTACTAGCTGTGTCACTATGAGGAAGATAATCTTAATCTCCATACTTTTCTATTTCATTATATATAAAATAGTTTTATGAGATGGTTCCATCTCTTCCAGCCTGGAAATTTTATGCTAAAAAGGAAAACTAAGATAGTTGAAAGTGATTCCTCTAGGGGGCAGGAAATATAATATTTTGTTATAAACCCATTAGTATGATTTGATTGTTTTAGCTGCTGTGTGTATATTTTTTTAAGTCCCCTACTCATTACAGAATGAATTTGACCAGCTGTTATCTTGTCTCAGTGTCAAACTTAGTCTGTAAGTGAATAATGCTTCTTATTTATAGTTTTTAGTTCCAAATGTTCTTTAAAAGATCTCATAAGCTCATATGCATATCTAAAAATTATATCATCATTTTGTAATATATATTATTTAATAAGTTGTTGAATCTTTGAATAACAATTTATAATGTGGGTTATTGATACAATCAAAATAGATCTACATAATCCTGTAACTTTTAAAACAAAGTATCTTTAACTGTACTAAGTATTTCTTAAAAGTCTACACGCAGAAAATTAAATTTTATTTAGTACAAATGCTTTCTAACTAGTAATTCACATTCTTAGCTGTTGCTATTAAGATTCTATTTGAGTCTTTTTATCCTACTTCCCCAAAAATCTTTAACTACATACATACATGTGATATAAGAAGATAAATGTGGAAATAAATAAATGAGGATGACAAAAAAAGTAAAAAAGAACAGGAAAG